ATCTCTTTTTCAATGCAAGAATTTTACATGGTTTGAATGGAGTGACTGTGGAAGCTGCTGAATGTAGTGATTGGTTTTGAATGTTTTATATATTCGAGCTTGAGTTGATTCATTTTTGCTCCACTAGTTTCGATAGCTTTTGAGCTACATTCCCAAATATTCCTGCCTTGATCCTAAACCCCCTTACAACGCTTGAAAAGTTCTTATGATTCATGTTATGCATGTGATCCCAGTGGTGGAGAATGACAAGATATGCAAGCCTATGGTAGATTATTTTCATTGGAATGAATTTGAGCGAAACACATACCCTTTAAACTCATGAGAGTCGAGTGTTTACTTCTGTGAGGGTCTACGTATTTAGTTTACTCCACATTTTAGTGAAAATACTTACTAAGTAATTGTAAGTTGTTAAGAATGTTTGTTCATGATATATTATGATTTTTGAAGAGTTTGGTTGTTCTTTGTTTATGGCGTTGCAACCTTATTGTTTTTGGGAAAGTGAATTTGAGTTTTGCCCGATGACGAGCAAAAGCTAAGTCTGGGGGAATTTGATGAGAATGTAAAATGTCATATTTTTCTCTTTTAATATTCAGCCTTTTATACTTATTTGGAGTCTAAATATACTCATTATTCTTATATTTTGATTTAGGACGCAAATGGAGACATTAAATGCAAAATGAAGCTAATTGGACGATTGTGGACAATTTCGACATTGCTTCATAATCTGGGCATAACTCTTTCATCCGAGCTCCGATTGAGATGATTCAAGATGTTATCGAATGCCAAAGAAAAGCTATACAACTTTCATGTTGAGTTTTGAGAGATATTTACTGTATCAAGGGAAGTATTGAAGGCAAAAGAATAGATATGGAGTATTATTGTGCAATTTCTAGCTTTTAGGCAGTTCGATCTAGGGAGCTTCAATTGAGGTTTGGATGGCATTAGAGTTTCAGACTGAGAAAGTATTCTTCATCAATTTTTTAGAGGACATCTTAAGCCTTTTAGAAAGGTATGGTTTGCAAAAATCCGAGTTCGTTTGGGACTCCAAACATTGTTTCAAAGTCAAGCCTGGAAAGCTGATCAGAATCCTGATTGGAGTTGGATTTCTTTCCAAACCAATTAACATCGGTGGGTCACAACTTGAGTTTACGAAATCCAAATCAGGTGATTCAAAAGTCTAAATTTATCTACACATTCAGGGCTACAACTTTCATGAAGAGCCCAACTCAAGATTCTGTTGTTATCTGGTAGAAAAAAAGATCACAAGTTCCAGCACAATTTCTGTCAATCTTTTTTGATAAGGAATACCTATAATATCGGGATTTGAGTTGTACACGTTTTGGGAGTGTGATATGTTTTCTATATTTATTTAAGGAGAGAGAAAAAAAAAAGAAAAATGAGGATAATATAGAGGCTGCTATACCCCTTTTTCTCTAACTCTTTCTTCTAGTTTTCATGAAGTCATGTGTGGCTAAACTATAATACTTGATCTAAGGAAACGGAAGCCTCGTAATCAATAAAAATGTGAGATCTAATTTGTTTTTATAGTTCAATTTATGTTTTGCAAATTGGATGTTATGTTTTACCTATTTTTATGATTGCATCATTTACTAGGAGGTCTGCTAGTTTATTATTCGTTGTAATCTACTGCTGGGTTAGATATCAAATCGGTAATTATTTGATCCCTCTAATTTGTGATGCAACTAAGATTTAATGATTTGCTGCATCAGAGATTATTAGATCTTAGAAAGAACATTCGACTAAATTAAATGCATTTGTTTGTGCTTGTGTTGTTTAGTTTCATCGATCTTTCTAATTCTTAATGATGCTACTAGATTAAACTTTTAGTACTTGTCTTGGGTTGTTTAGTAGTTAAGGTTAATTAGATCACTTGTTTTCTAATTAATTGCGACTAAAGAAAGATAAGAAGATAGTTCTAACGGTGAATATTCAGATAGTGAATTGATATATACTTGCATCGATGAACAGTTGTAAATTAAATTCCGATGGTGAATGTTGACTTAGATCAAGGTTTGTTCTATTGATTGATTTCGATACTTTAATTTGAACTGTTCTTTAGTTAATTTTCTTAAAATTGTTTTAGTTAAACTCAAACCCCCTTCCATCCTTGTTCACGAGGTATAAAACTAGGCTAGATACTCTCTGTGGGAACGATCCTTACTCGCACTATTAGATTTATTTTTAGGAGTATAGGTTTTATTTTTGGTTGCTTGTGAAGAACTGTCGAGCAAACAAACTAACAAACTAGGAGATCAAACCAATTCTATGAACTTTGATACAAACAATGACATTGGTGGTGCTTGCTGACTAATAGACATAACTACAATAGTATATTGAGAGTGAGAGACCCAGATAGTGTTGCAAAATTGTGTTGCTTGGACATTTATGGAAATTTTATAGAACTTTAATCATATAAAAAATCCTAAACAATTTATAGAAACGTTGGTTCAATTGACGTTTTACATCATGAGCAGATAATTAGGTCGTCTGAAAACTACTCTCGCATAACGAAAGGAAAGCTTAGACCTTACTAAAGGGGTGGTTTTCCTTCTTTTGATAGGCTTTTATGGGAGCTATATGTTCTTTTCATTTTTTCGAGATATGAGAATTTTTATTATATCCCAAAAACTAGTCCTCAAGAAACATATAACTCAAATTGACTAAATCAATAAATCATAAATATTTTTGTGGATCTGCTTCAATATCAATCGGTTGATTGTATAAATCAACCAATTGATATTGACACAAAATCACCAAAATAATGGAAGTAAAATAAATTAATGCTCATTCTTAATGTAAATAACCCTAACATTCATATAAACCTATTTCACAAAAAAAAAAATTCCACAAACTCTATTCAACACCCAAATTGAAAACCCAATTTAAAAACAAATTAGCCTACAAATTTCACAAAATAAACTCAATAATAATCAACTCAACATGTATTCCATGTGCATAACAAAAACCCTAACATCTGAAATCCCTAAAAATCTTATTGAATGAAATTATCACACAATCTATTTCAATTAATACACAAATCTATTTCATACTACTTGACACAAAATCTCCAAAATAATGGAAGGAAAATAAATCAATGCTCATTCTTAATGTAAATAACCCTAACATTCATCAAATGAAGACACTATAAACCTATTTCACAAAAAAGAAAAATCAAGTTGAAATCTCGCAAACTCTATTCAACACCCAATTTGAAAACAAATTAGCCTACAATTTTCACAAAACAAACACTCAATAATAATCAACTCTGCATGTATTCCATGAGCATAACAAAAACCCTAACATCTAAAATCCCTAAAAATCTTATTGAATGAAATTATATTTCAATTAACACACAAATATTACTCTAGATCAACACCCTACAAAATCCTATTTCATTTAACTGAGAGGAGCATGACCTATTGTGGAGGTGGTTGTGGTGGAGGCGTTATTAGAGCAGTAGTGGAGTGGTGGTTGTAGTGTGACGCTGGTCGAAATGTCGTTTCTATGTGTTTGGGTTTGCAACCTAAGGGTGATGGTTATGATTTATGAAGGTAGGGGGATTGTGGGGATTTCCGAAGGTGGGAGTGGTGGTGATGATTTCTAAAGGTGGGGGGATGGTGGGAATTTCTGAAGGTGGGGGTGGTGGTGATAATTTCTGAAGGTGGGGGGGTGGCAGTGGTGGAGGCCTTCTCAGACTAGTAGCAGAGGAGTGGTGGTTGCTATGTGGCTAACAAGAGGGTTCTGTGGTGGAGGTTCGTGATGGTGAGGGTCAATGGGGGTAGTGGGGATTTTGGGTTAGGGCTTCAATCTCAGAAAATGGAGAAAATCAAAGAGAATGGAAAAAGAGAAAGAAGTGGGTGGGTTGATTTCCGATGGTGGGGGTGGGGTTGGTGATGGTAGGCGATGGCAAGTGGTAGCGATTTCTGGTTAGGTTAAGGCTCCTAATTCTCAAAGAAGGGGGAAATTAGAGAGAATGGAAAGAGAAAGAATAAAAGGGGAAATGGGGGGTAGGAGATAGCGTTAAATACGTTGATCTAAATGATGTTTTTAAGAAAACGTTGATTCCACTAGCGTTTTACATTAGTAAATAGTTATTTTTATCTCCATTTAAAAATGTCATTGCCAATAACATCTAGTGAAAAACTTCATTCCAAATAGTTTGGAAACTACCCTTTCTGGATATAAGTTTCTAAAACCCCATGGGTTAGGGTAAAAGCTCATATCCCCAAGGGTTGTTTGGACTACCAAGTTTTGCCCATGATTAGTGTCTAATTTTTGTTAGGTTAACCTAACTTTTTGTCAAAATCTCATACAAAAGCAACATCTCCAATAGTAAAGGTCACAATATTTGTGCAATAAAGCAAATATAATGTAAACCCATCAAGATAGATTAATGGTATAACTCAATGGTTAATACCACAAGGTCCAAGTTCAAGTCTGCCAAGAGACGTCTAGATGCACGTATCGTTGCACACATCCCGAGTTTACTTCACATTTAAAAACTCTAAAGAACACGTGTTTGGAATGAGAAAATAATTATATAATGTAAGGATTCAACAAGACACTATAAAAAGATATCACTGGAATGCCAGTATCCCTCTTCAATGCGAATGCCAATGGCATTGGATCCATTGCAGATTGAGTAGAATTCCAATGCCAAAAATAAGAAGGAAAAGGAAAAAAGATAAAGGAAAGAACAACAACATCCCCCACAGCCTCAACCGCCACCATGAATTCAAGTGTCCTTCTGAAAGTTTCTCAAACCAAATTTTTGTGGTGATCCAGCAAGCTTATCAGGGTGATGGCATAAACATATCTTTCTGTGTTCCTATTCACATGTTTTCAAACTCTGTAACGAATACTTGGCAAACTCTAAGTTGATTGTGATGTCTGCTATACACAACCACAATAATCCAACAAAGGTAGCCTCAGCAAACTAGCAGCTTCTCAGATAACACACTCTTTCTTCTCCAAACCTGTCAGTCTTCCTTGTGGCTATTGCCATTATTTTCATGCCTAGGCAGAGGAAGAGGATTGATAAGGAATGACTTCAAGTGTTTGTACAACTTTTTGGGCTTCTCCATGTTGATTGCATGTCCTGCTTTCTTTATAATCACAAGTTCTGCATTTTCACCCAAATGCCTGACAATACAAAACACATGACAAAACAAAGAAGTCAAGGTAGAAATATTCAAAAAGGAGATACAAAATGATCCCGCTCAGTGGCCAATAAGATGTAAGAAGACTTGCAACAAAGAATACTGCAAATCGTGTTTTTTTGCTATGAATCAAATACTGCAAATCGTGTTTTTTTGCTATGAATCAACCCCTTGGAACCTGAAAGAGCAGATTAAATTTCTCAAATCAATCTCAAAATATTTTCAGACATACCTTTTCAATCTGTGTGCCAATTCGAGGGGGAATATCTGATCATGTTCTCCCCAGATGATTAATGTGGGCTGCATAAGGTTGGCATAATGTCATTAGATAAAAGATTAAGAGGATGAAGAAGTGCTAAACAGGAAACCAAATTTAATGCATGAAACTAGAAGACTTCAACGACGCAAGAATCAGAACCTGAGTAATCTTGGGAAGGTCAGATAGCTTTCTATCCTTGTGTAAGGCTTCGATCAACTCTGTTCTTTCTTGGATGTAAGTCGTACACATCACCTGCCCCCATCAATCAAGTAAACACTACAAACTTCAGGCAGAACAATATTATTAGACTCTACTTCCTCACATCAACTTTAAAAAAAGAAAGAAGCAATTACACCATAATCCCAACTTCACTGCATAAAAGAGTGCAGGTAGTGCATCATTAATGCTACACCACCATACATACCAGCAACGACAGTTACAAACCATATTCTAGCAAGTTGCAGCCTCAGAATGTCATTCTTCTAACATGCAATTTGGTTAGCTCATTGGAGCTTTCCTGGGAGTATCTTCTGGAACAATTGAGGTAAATTTTGAAACCACAACCTGACCAGGTCACAAAGACAAGACTAGAGTACACAAATTTCTTCTTTTCTTTAGACTGGAGGGAGGGTTGGAATTAAGAGGTGACCGACCTTTGATAAGTATAAGCCAGCTGAGAGAATTAGATGATCAAGTTTTCCGGACAGAGAAATTCCAAATTCTAATCCTCCTCTCCATCTAGAAAACTAACAGAATCAAATCTTCAAAGTTTAATCATCCTCTTCATCAAAAAAGAGCTACCAGAATCCAATACTGAATGTAGGATAGCCAAACTGGTTCTCTCTCCGGCCGAAGAATCACTTAAAGCTTTTGAAAACCTTAAAGCTGATAAGTTGTGTAAGACAATCGGACTAATTTCCTGGTCTTTTCCACCTCCAGGTTGGAGGAAAATAAATATGGATGGGTGCTCAAAAGGCACCCTGGAGCAGCTGGAATTGGTGGAGTGGTTCGAGATGACAGAGGCATGTGGATCCAAGATTTTATGGGCAGAATCAACCAGTCTTCGAGCATGAAAGCAGAACTCTGGGCCATTTACAAAGGGCTTCAGTTAACATTGGAGGAAGATTTATTCTGGAATCAGATTCATCTGAAGCTATTTCCCTGCTTTCTGGTTGTCAACCAGTTAGCCACCCTCTTAAAGTCCTTGTGGAAAATTGTCTTCATCATCAGGACCCAAAACATAATCCTGCAACATACCTTAAGAGAAGGAAACCAAATGGCGGACGGACTGCCTAGCCAACTTGAATGTGAATCAGCTGGAGAAGATGGTGGTTTTTGACTCACCGCCTGAGTGTACTTTAGATTAGCTTAGGACCGACATTTCTGGTACTAATTTTGTTAGGGAACCCACTTAGATGAGGTTCCCTCCACAGCACAAAAAAGAAAAAAAGAAAGAAAAGAAAGTTTAATCGGTATTCAGTTGTTTCCTTCCCTCAAGTACTTACTAAATGTTCCTTTACCATTTCATCGACACTATATCACAACATAAAACTATAGAAGAACCATCAGCTACTGTTCACACAAATGTACAACATCAATCAGAAGCATCCAATATTAAAGAAGATTTCAGAACAGCAACCCTACCAAGAACGGCATAACACTTGAGACAAGCATATTTTCCATAAGGTAAAAAGGTGGCATTCTTGACGGCAACAGCCATATTGGAAAAATAACTTAAAAGAAGTATAGTGTCAAAACGGATACTACATGGGATCAAACAGATTGCCCGAAAGTATGGACGGGCGGTATTTGGTTAAGTCCAAATGCATCATCCCTCATTATGAAAAAAAAAAAAAAAATACTACATGCAAAGTGTAATCAGTTCAAAGGCAACTCCTGATACCAAATATCCGAGATTACAATAACAATCATCAAGTCAATTGGATAATCACATTAACCATTATACCTTTTCTCCATCCTTGTGATTAAACTAGAGCAGACATACTATAGCACTCCGACTTTATAGCAACCAAGACAGGGACATCATATTTCCCTGTTGCTCATAATTTTCCCAATAAGGGAAGGATTCCAGCGTTTTTAACTCTACATAAGCCAGCCTTGTATCTGACTCTAGGGTACCGCAAAAAATTCAATGAAATTCAAAAAATGGCAATTTTAATTGAATACCAACTATGAGTTCATTAATTACTTCGAAAACAAATTCTCAACACTTAAGTACACTAGTGAAAGCAAACTTACATTGCACGTGAACTATTTTAAATATCATATGGGATAAAATATTTTTATTATGTAGATTATAAGCTTTTTATTGTTTTAGATCTTTAAAAAAACAAGTGGTCTTTGACCACACCTAAAAAACCACTCTAGCCACGGATTAAAGGGTTTTCTAGAATTTAAAAGAAGCATGTACCCTAATATTAAAAAAATAAAAATCTTTGAGAACTTTAAAATCACATTAAACATTAAACTCAAATCAACGTAGGAGACATGCTAGTGTTAATTAAAATGTTATTCAAGGTAAATTCCTACTAGAACCTTACTCAATTCAAGATTTATTATTGTACTACTTTTGACCCATAAGTGAAATTAAAAATCGTATGAGGATCCCGAATCAGCAAATAAGCAAATAATGTAATCATTAGCATAAGAGATCACACACGTATTAATGAAAAAAATTGTAAATTTTACAAAGTAATGTAGTGTAATACATAATTTTGTAGCAACACTTAAAATTACTCTCATTACAAATGAGTTCTTAGAACATCCAATTGTTACAAAAATCAAAATGACAACTACTCTATGTATTTTTCCCTAGAGATTCACTCAACCAAAGCGTCCTAGGTAAGTCACAAGTTCTACCACTCTGTAGATTTTGATATCAAGTTCTTCAAAAGATGACATCTTTTTAAGATAAAATAATAAATTAAATTATGAGAAAAAAAAAAAGTATTTCCTCTCAATCTTTTAAAACAAAAGGTAAAGGTATAATAAAAGGGTCAGGTGTAATATTATTTCCATTATTTTCATGGCAACATCAATAGTAACATTTTTATTGTTTTTGATCCTTAATGATAAAAATATAACATGACTCGAGAATACAATTTTTTTTACTTTTCTATATGAAGTAGAGAGTTGGTAAAAATAACAAACAAATTCATGAAATTGAAAAAATTAACTTGCTTAAGGGAAAAGCTTTTTTACTTTGCTGGAGTCATTTTTGTTCTATCATGATGTTGGTGCAATCTTGTTGTGATGATATGCAAAACTTGTTTGAAAGACGAATTAATGTATTCACTGCATAGAAAGGGAACAATCTAAAACTTTTAAATATTAATTATTGTGATTATGTTATGAAAAATGCAAATAAAAATCAAGAAATGTATTATTATTATCTATATTTTAAATTGGACGTACACTGAATATTTATTTTTTGAAGTATAAATAAATGTATAGATATAGATATTCATATAGATTATTTATGTGAAAATGAAAGTATACATGAAGGGTTATTTAGATATTTAATTGGTTTTGGGTAATTAATAATATAATAATTATAATTTGTCTTTAATCATTTTATAGGGGTATAAAGTATATGAAGGGTTATTGGATA